TAGCACATTCCAAGTAGTGAAGCAAATGAAGATCATGGCATGATGATGGTGATGCCATGGTGATGATCAAGTGCTTGGACTTGAAAAGAAGAATGAGAAAAACAAAAGGCTCAAGGCAAAGGTATAAGTGGTAGGAGCCATTTTGTTTCGGTGATCAAGACAATTAGCCAGTGTGATCACATTTAGGTTCGATAGTCATACTATTAAAAGGGGTGAAACCTGTATCAAAATACGGTTATCAAAGTGCCACTAGATGCTCTAAGTCATTGCATATGCATTTAGGATCTAGTGGAGTGCTAACACCATTGGAAATGTTTGTGAAAAATTACTAACACACATGCACAAAGGTGACACACATTGTGTTTAGCACTTGGGAGCAAGGGTTCGAAACTTCATCGGCGGAGTGTTCGCCCATAGAGTGCGGACAGTCCGACGGTGCCACCGGCGCCCTGTATAGAAAAGACAGGGTTTCACAGAGTGCACCGGACGCTGGTCACGTAGTGATCGGACGCTAGGTCCTACGTCCGGTCAGTGGCGCACAGTGAAGGCCACCCTCGGTCTCTTGACCGGACACAAGCAACCGGACTCTAGCTAAACACTGTTCAGCATCCGGTCCTGCTGATGTGGTAGCGCATAGAGAAGACCGTGAGTGACCGGACGCTGGGCGAGTTCGGTCGGGCTTGACCGGATGCGTCCGGTCGCGAATTTCCACCTCTGGAACCTTACTAGAAGTGACCGGATGCTGGGGTCCTGCGTCCGGTCATGATCTAACTGACGTGTCCGGTCGTGATTGCAACCTTACTGGAAGTGACCAGATGCTGGGGTCCTGTGTCTGGTCCTACACTGTAGAGCGTCCGGTCACAACTTAAATGTGCTGATGACCGTTGAGATCGGACGATTAGCATTTGAAGCAGGGGTCACGTGGCGTGCATCGTGCGACCGGACGCTGGGGTCCTACGTCCGGTCACCCCGAGCAGTGCCTAATGAAGGGGTACAACGGCTCTATTTCATGGGGGCTTCTATTTAAGCCCCATTGCCGGCTCTAGCTCACTCTCTTAGCCATTTGCATTGACATAGCAACCTTGTGAGCTTAGCCAAAGCCCTCCCACTCATCTCCATCATTGATTTATCATCTTTGTGAGTTTGGGAGAGAATCCAAGTGCATTGCTTGAGTGTTTGCATCTAGAGGCACTTGGTGTTCGTGTTTCGCTGCAGGATTCGCTTGTTACTCTTGGTGGTTGCCGCCACCTAGACAGCTTGGAGCAGCGAGGATCGTCGAGCGGAGGTTGTGCAGCACCCTATTGAGGGTTTGGCGTGTGATGCCAATTAGTGTGTGAACCTCCATGTGAGTGTATCGCCACAACGAGGACTAGCTTGCTGGCAAGCAAGTGAACCTTGGTAAAAAATCATTGTGTCATCATTTGATTTCGAGGTGATGGTATTCATTGGTATTTATCCTTGTGATTGATTGGTTCATTCCTCAACTCGACGGTATATCCATCTTGCTCTATCTCTTTACATTACCATAAACTAGTTGTCAAGCTCTTTAGTGTAGTTAGTCGTGAGAGCTTGTTAGTTTGGTTAGTGTGGCTCTTTAGTTAGCCTTTGAGAGCACACTAACTTAGTGTAGCAACATAGCCATTGTGTGGATAGAGACTATACAAAATAGAATTGGGTAGGTGGCTTGCAACCCCAAGTATAGTGCTAGCGCAAAATTTGCTTCGCCATCTTATTGACTAATCATTTGTTTTAGTGTTGTTGTAGAAAATTTTAATAGGCTATTCACCCCTCCTCTAGCCTTAGGACCTTTCAGCCTACTGTCTCCGTGGCGCTCGTTCTCTTGCTCGAGCTAGAGTCGTGCTTCCTCAATCTCTTGATGCCGGGCCTTCAGCTGCTCTACCCACAGGCGAGGTGGGGCCCCTGCATCCCCCCAACCTTATCATCGAGGTCATTCGTTGGGGTAGCCTCTCCCTCATGGATGCTTTTGACGTATCCCTCGGGGTACCTGCTATGAAACATTCACGAGAAGGGTGATGGCTCCCCCTGCTGGAGTCAGAGTCGGAGGGCGACCCTAATTCTCTCGCGAGGAGGTCATGGAAAGATTCTGCGACATATTCGGTCATCCCCACGAACTCGTCATTCGCGGGGGATGGAGGCGTGTGTTGTGCCACAAGGTGGCCAACGATCTCTGCGGCGTTGCGGAGACCGAACAGGAGCGTTGTCGGGGTGCTTGGGATGAGGTATTCCGGGGAGAGCGGCTCTCCCTCGGCCAACTACGTCATGACGTTGGCGAAGGAGAAGGTGAGGCGGCCCAGGTCCTCCCAGGACGGTCGAGGTCCTAGGAAGACACTGAGCTGGCGCTCTAGCCTCCCATAATCAAAGCCGAGGAGCTGGTCGCTCCTAGGGGCATGTGCCTCCGGTGCGTGTAGCTGTAGCTCCTCAAGCGCCTTGGCGATCGTGTCGAGGCTGATGGAGTGGGGAGGTTGGACGGCGACAGGAGCCTGTGCCAACTCTTCCTCCGTCGTGACGATGAAGTCCATCTTCTCGAAGCGCACGTGCGTGCCCGGGACCCAGCTGACACCGTGGCTAGCCATCCGAGGCCTGATGTGGACATCGAGACGCGTAAAAAGCCCCTACCTGGCGCGCCAACTGTCGGTGTTTTTGGACCACCGACGAGTAAATTTGTATTTGTGCATCTGGCTTAGATGGGGTGCTCGGAGGACACAAGGATTTATACTGGTTTGGGCGGAACGTCCCTATGTCTAGTTTGCTGCTGCTCGTGTTACCGGCACTTGGTTTGTAGTAGGGGTTATAAACAGGCGAGAGAGGGAAATGATCCCAAGTCTCTAGTGAAAGGAATGAATGGGTGCTGAGAGCTCGATCGCTGCTTAGCCGTGTGCTCGTGTCGTGCTCTTGTGTTTTTATCTCATGGTTCGGTCTTGTGCCGATCAGGATCCCCCATCCCCCTAGTAGGGGCGCTCTGCTTTCCCTTTTATAGGCGAAGGGAAAGCATGGGTTACAACGGAGAAAAATGAGAAGAACTAGAGGGAGAAGAAGGCTTCCAGGATCGCCGGATCCTTCTTCTCCTTTCATGCGGGTCCCACCGACCCTGTAGATGTCAACAGGGACGGCTCCACGTCGCGGCCCTGTTCGTCACTGGCACTATACGCAGGCGTCATCTGCCGGCCATGGTGTCCCACTCCGTCCTGGTGGACGTCGTGGTGAACTGACGCAGCTGTCAGCGTTCATACGAGGGTTAGGCAGAACAACACCGGCACGCCTGACGCTGTTCTTGATGTGAATCCTCAGGTATGGCCCGTCATGGCCGCGGGTTACATCAAGTCGTGCCTGTCTCTTCCCTGGTGTCAGAGTTTTGACCCAGGCCCATACGCTTGGACCTGTAGTGGTTGGTGATGGTATGGATCCCGACGGATGAGACGGAGCACGCACCCAGGGGTCGGGCGAGACGGAGCATGAACCCGAGGGATCGGGCGAGACGGAGCCCACCCCCAGAGGTCGGGTGAGGCGGAGGCCACGCTCCCGAGGTCGATTGGAGTTGTAGTCGCGCTTTTGACTGCTCGGATGAATCATGTTGATGACCATTAGCTCCTCCTCTTCGGGTACCCTAGTATTAGTCCCCAACATCACCATTCCTATATTTTCACTCCTATAGCAGCGTTTGGAATGAAAATTATCCACATGCTTTCGAAAGAAATGTTTATTGTGCATGTACGTTTGGTGGAAAATGAACATCCAGTCCTATTGGTTTTCTTTCCTTCACGAAGTCCAATACAATATAATAGCGTGTGTATGTTGGCATGCAAGCTAGCCAAAACCTTATACAAAAGTCTAAGGCCTCCTTTGGTTCACATGAATTTCATTGGAAAAATAGAGGATTGCCTTTCCTTTAGGATTCCACACTGTAGCACCCTTTGGCTCATAGGATGCGTCCGATGCCATGGAATCTGCTACAAAGTTAATCTGACTAGGATAGGATTTGTTAACCTGAGGACTGGCCTTTTTCCTAGGGATTAGACCAAGTCAGAAAAGGGATTGTGCTTTCACAGTGCATCAATAAGAAGGAATAACTTGTTCACGGTAAAGAACTCAGGCTATTGGGATCGACCCTAAACCAAACGAATTTGAAGCATTTATTTGAACAACACCAAATCATTTTACCATAGGAAATGTAATTCCTTCACAGCTCATTCCATAGGAAAAGTACATGAAACAAAATCCACTCCGACTTCTTTGTTTGTCTGGCTTGCGTAGGAACGAGGCATGTCAACAGCTAAATCACAGGTATCACCAAGAAATAAAGAGCTAGGGGACAAATATCACATCACATCATGGGAGATTATACATTCCTATTCCTATAAATTTCCTATAGCCATCCAAACACCTATCTAAATAGTTTTCCTATGTTTTTTATCCTATGTTTTGTAATTGTATTCATGTAAAGTTCCTATGTTTTTTCCTGTACCTATGTGTTTGCAATCCTGTGTTTCAAAGGGGGCCTAATCATATACGTCAATATCAAGTTTGAGCATGTCTTTCATTCCTGCGTTCCAAATGCTAATGTTTTAAAAATTCTTGTGTTTTTTATAGCTCTGTTTTAACACTACGTTCGTATCTCTTTTATATGCTTCGTTTGATTGCTCTGTTTGTATTCCTACTTTCCGAATTGACCCTCAATGGAGATCCTAATCCACAAATTTCTACTCTAACGCTTTGTGAATGGCCTCACGTCAACCTCATGTTCTTTAGCTCGCTCCTTGGATTAAGCCTGCCACGAAGAATGTTGTCTATAATAAAGCTGACACTAAGGGCGTCTCTAATGGCCTAGCTTAGAGCTGGTTTATTATTTTTTAATCATAAATAGTGCAAAAGACAAGAGATTAGCGTGGACTCGACAGATCATGGACTCCGCTCTCTGCTCGGTGCTCACCTCCTCCCTCCTTTCCTCTCTCTCTCTCTCTCTCTCGGCGTCTCTCCCATAGGCCAAAGAGCACGCCCACGCCCAACAGTCGCAGAGCCAGGAACCACCAGAGCAGCGCCTCCTCCAGCCGCGGAGGAGGTGGAGCCGTGGAGGAGAACTCCGGCGGCGGCGAGGAGGAGGAGGAGGGGCAGGACGACGACGAGCTGGAGCTGGGGCTCTGCCTCGGCTCCAAGAAGCAGCAGCCCCCGTCGGCAGCGCCGTGCCGGATCCTCACGGACCGGGACCTGCAGCCGGGGGTCTCCGGATTCCTCCGTGTCCTCCCAAACGGCGGCAGGACGGCAGGTCCAGGTGCCGCGGCGCCCAGTAACAAGGCCAAGGCGGATGCGGCGCCCAACGCCACCACCTCGCCGGGGGCCGGGGACGATCGCTTCTGGCCACCCAGAGAGGTGAGCAGCAACAACAATTCCGTCTGCAGAGTTCAAAAATCGAATCAGTATATAAGTGCCTCCACGTCTGCTTGTTGTTAGGATCATAGGATGATGCGTCACCGTTCATTTTGCACCTAATTTGTTTAGGAAAAGAAACCTTCTTTCTTGTTTATGCACAGACATCTTTTTTTTGAGCTCATTATGCACAGACATCTCCTAAGACTAATCTTTTTTTTTCCCCTGCCGAAGCTACCTAATGTGCATGCTTCCGTTGCCTTATTATTATTATTTTTTTACCATGGCATCCTTCAAACTCTGATAGAGAATAAAAAGGAAAGGAGTCTTTTAGTTTGTTGTATTGCCCTGCAGATCTGCAACTGCAACCGCCAACATTTTCTTGACAAGAAAAGTATCCTGACATTATGTCTTCTTGTTTTGAAAAGAATGGCATTTCTTTGCTTGCCCAGCTACCCAAATTGACTTCAACTGATCTTAACTGCATTTTCCGCTTTGGTAGCAGCTTTGGAGTTTGGAGTGGTGGGATGGCCACCCATAAGAACTTTCAGGATGAACAGCGTATTTAACCAGGCCAAAGAAAATGCCTCAGAGGCTGGCACCAAGAAGCCCGCTGATGAATCTGGCATGCAGAAAGACAGAGGAGAGCAAGAAAGGACGGTTGGGGTGAAGGTGAACGTGGAAGGAGATATCATTGGAAGGAAGGTGGATCTCAACGCCCATCAGTCCTATAAGACCCTTGCTTCAGCACTTGAGCTCATGTTCATGAAACCATCCATCGGTCTTTGTACTTCTAGTAAGTCATAATCAGATCTTTTACTTTCACTATAGTAGAATCCAGTGCATATTCTAATCATGTCAACCTATATGGTTTGAAACTTTTCTATATATTTTCCTTTTTTTGGATAACCATCATCAAGTGTAGTATCAGGGTTGTTCTAGATATAGTTTCATAAGTTTGTGAGGATGTCTTTTCTGCTCTCATTTCTGAACCTCGTGTCAACCTGTATGGTTTGGAACTTTATATTTTTTCCCCTTTTTTTGGATAACCATCATCAAGAGTATCAGGGTTGTCGTAGATCTAGTTTCATAAGTTTGTGAGGATGACTTTTCTGCTCATTTCTGAACCTCATTTGTATTGATCATGAAAATTATCATGTAGTTTGAAGTCTCTTAAGCTATTGGACAACTAGCTCATCGGAATATCAGCTCACCTATGAGGACAGGGATGGGGACTGGATGCTTGTTGGAGATGTTCCCTGAGGTAAGTCTTCTACACTGTGTTAGCAACCAGAAGTTGAACGGGAGATCTTATTATTGACCCTTTTTGAAGTGTCATGGAATGGTTCTTTCAAATGGCTTATTGTTTTACTCTGCAGGATGTTTGTAGGTTCAGTGAAGATGCTCAAGATCATGAGGATCTCTACAACACTCCTTTCAAGAGGTACACAGTGCAGGCTCAGCTAAGTTGATTGGTGACGACTTGATTGGCGAGGAAAAGAAGCCAACTGCAGAGCTAGTGATCTTCAAAGCCAATTATAACTTAGAGCTGGAAGAACATGGCACTGGTTTTGTTATGGTGTTGCCATCTACTGGGTGTGTGGCAGACCACTTGTCCCTGATTGTCTAAACCAGTTTGGTTAGGTAATTTCTTCCTTGTTCTTTGTGGAGTGTGTGCTGGCCATCGAGTCTTTATTATTAAACTGTTGGCCTCAAGTCTAATTATCCATGGTGCAGGTGTCCTTTGATCTCGAGAATAGAAATCAGGAGCTTAAGAGTGACTTGAAGGACCTTTTTACATCACTGGAGCAGTGGGTTTATCTTCTATCTTGTATATTTGTTTGAACCTTGGGTGTATTTGCTGCAATCTAATATGATAAAAATTGATTGCTCATTCCATGCAGGCAGATGGATGTGTCTGGCAACATAAAACTGTTATCATCCATGTACCATATACAACAACAACAACAACAACATAGCCTTTCAGTCCCAAATAAGTTGGGGTAGGCTAGAGTTGAAACCCACCAAGAGCCCCAAGTCACGGTTCAGGCACTTTAATAGCTGCTTTCCAAGTACTCCTATTCAAACATAGATCTCTAGGTATATTCCAAGCTTTTAAATCTTTTTTTATTGTCTCCCCCCATGTCAATTGCGGTCTTCCTCTACCTCTCCTCATATTATTAGCTTGGCTTAGGACTCCACAATGCACTGGTGCCTCTGGAGGTCTCCTTTGGACATGGCCAAACCACCTCAACCGATGTTGGACAAACTTTTCTTCAATTGGTGCTACCTCTAGGCGATCACGTATATCATCGTTCCGAACTCGGTCCATTCTTGTGTGACTGCAAATCCATCGCAACATACGTATTTCTGCAACACTCAGTTGTTGAGCATGTTGAATCTTTGTAGGTCAACATTCTGCTCCATACAACATAGCCGGTCTAATCGCCATTTTATAGAACTTGCCTTTTAGCTTTTGTGGTACCCTCTTGTCACAGAGAATGCCAGAAGCTTATCGTCATTTGATCCACCCTGCTTTGATTCTATGGCTAATGTCCGCATCAATATCTCCATCCCTTTGTAGCATCGATCCTAGATATCGAAAGGTATCATTTTTAGGCACTACTTAACCTTCCAAACTCACATCTCCCTCCTCCTGTACAACTCCGCTAAAGTCGCATCTCATGTATTCGGTTTTAGTTCTGCTCAATCTAAAACCTTTAGACTCAAGGGTCTGCTGCCATAACTCTAGTTTCATATTTACTCTCTCCTGACTTTCGTCCACTAACACTACATCATAAGCGAACAACATACACCAAGGCATATCTCTTTGTATGTTCCTGGTAACCTCATCCATTACCAAGGCAAAGAGATACGGGCTTAAGGCTGACTCTTGATGAAGTCCAATTTTAATCGGGAAGTAATATGTGTTACCATCGTTTGTTCGAACACTAGTCATAACATTGTTATACATGTCCTTGATGAGGGTCACATACTTTGATGGGACTTTATGTTTGTCCAAAGACCACCACATAACATTTTTTGGTATCTTATCATAAGTCTTCTCCAAGTCAATGAAAATCAAGTGGAGGTCCTTCTTCTGTTCTCTAAACCGTTTCATAACCTATTTTATTAAGAGGATTGCTTCTGTGGTTGACCTTCCGGGCATGAAACCAAATTGGTTTGTTGATATCTGCGTCGTTCCTCATAGGCGCTGCTCGATGACTCTCTCTCATAATTTCATAGTGTGGCTCATCAACTTAATTCCCCGATAATTAGTACAACTTTGGATATCTCCCTTGTTCTTGTAGATTGGTACTAATATGCTTCTTCTACACTGCTCAGGCATCTTGTTCGATCGAAAGATATTGTTGAACATCTTGGTTAGCCATACTATAGCTATATCCCCGAGACATCTCTACACATTGATTGGGATACCATCAGGGCCCATCGTTTTGCCCCCTTTCATCCTTTTCAAGGCTTCTTTGACCTCTGATTCTTGAATCCTCCGCACAAAGCGCCTGTTAGTGTCATCAAACGAGTCGTCCAGCTGAACGGTGGTGTTCTCGTTCTCACCATTAAACAATTTATCAAAATACTCTTGCTTCACTAAGCTGCTCCCTCTCATCCTTTATGCACTTGATTTGGTTGAAGTCCATTGTCTTCCTATCGCGAGCCCTAGCCATCCTATAAATGTCATTCTCTCCTTCCTTCGTACTCAAACGTCGGTAAATGTCCTCGTAGGCCCGCCCCTTTGCCTCACTCACCGCTCGTTTTGCAGTCTTCTTTGCCACCTTGTACGTCTCTATGTTGTTTGCATACCTGTCATGATACAAGCGCTTATAGCACTCCTTTTCCTTAATAGCCTTTTGCACATCTTTTTTCCACCACCAAGTGTCTTTCGAGTCGCATCCGCTCCCTTTGGTCACTTCAAGCACCTTTGAAGCAACCTTCCGAACGCATGTTGCCATCTTCTCCCACATGCTGTTTGCATCACCTTCATCATTACAAGGGCCCTCTTCAATGACCTTTTCCTTAAAGACCTTTGATGCCTCCCCTTCTAATTTCCACCACTTCGTTCTAGCAACCCTAGCTTGTTTGTTCCCACGAGCTTGCACCAGAAAGCGGAAGTCAGCCACCACCAGCTTGTTTGAAGCCGGTATTGTCCACCTCCTTCGCTTTCTGCTCCTTCCATTTAGTATCTTGGACGCATAAGATATTTACACGCCTCCTAACCGCTGTATCCACTAACTCTCTTAACTTACCTGTAAGGTATCCTACATTCCAGCTACCTAAACGGATCCTAGTTGGCTCGGCTAGCTTCCTTACCCTTCGCACCCGCCGAGGTAGGTGTGAAGACCCTTGCTCATTTTGCACCACATCCGGGCGCCGATGTGGCGCGCCACTAAGGATGCGACGACTCGATCCTTGCTCACTTGACACCGTGTCCAGATCGCGACATGGCGCGTCACGGGGGTGACGACCCGGCCCTTGCTCATTTAACACCATACCTGGGTTCCGACATGGCCCGTCGCTAAGAGGGTTACGCCCCAACGAGATTCTTTTGGGTTTCATCTCCATTAAAGTGGCTAAGTTTTTACATTGGCTCGCCACGCCTAACACAACCCTCCTCCTTTACCAGGGCTTGAGACCTGCTATGCTGGGACACCAAAGGCGCCCCACCACAGGCGGAGTTATCCATGTACCATATAGGCTACAAAACTCTTACGAGAAGGTTCATGTGAGGCTTGTTGGGAGCTTGAGAATAAGTTCAGTACTTCAGTGGGAAGGTGAGAAAATTATCCATGGTTTTGCAATTACATCATGTTTCTTACAGCATTTATGATTATGACTTAGAGAAAAGTTGAGAGGGTAAGTTCATTCAACAAGGGAATAAGGTTTGGAAAAAGAAATATATATATCTACAAGCTTTCTGATTATGACTTGGAGAAAAGTCGAGAGGGTGTAACATGACGCATAAAGACAATTGGAGGGAGTTGTAACTTATAGTTAACTGGTTGTACACCTTGCGGAAGATGGCAAAACAATAGTTGCTTCACACTATCCTGATAAAGGGATCATCTATGGATCTTACTCAAACTAAATGAATATTTGGGCATAGGAAACGAATTTCTATTCTATTACTCAACATATACAGGAGAGTAGACTATATAGCAGTGTTTTAAAGGCGGCTAGGCGTCCAGGCGAGTGCTGGGTACGCCTGGACGCCTAGGCGACAAGGCGCCACTGTTTTCCAAGGCGAGGTGGGTACGCCTGGACGCGTAGGCGACGCCTTTAAAACACTGCTATATAATAATATTTGTAAACTGATGTGCATTTTACTGTAGACATGGATGGTATGACAAATATGGAAAAAGCCATTCCTTCCTGTCATGTTCTCTTCTGACTTCCCTGTGTCCTATCTTGATCATTGCTCAAACCGTGGATTTGAGCACTGTTGTCCTTAGGTAAGAGATAAAACCGAGATCTGGTCCAGTTCTTAATTTCTTTTCTCGAATATGCAGGAGAATTGCATATCATTGCATCAAGAGAAGAAGAGTTAGGCCAAAATAGCCGTACACAGCGCGCGTGCGCACACACATGCCTACACCACTTGCCCGTGATCACCAGGCTATTACTTTTACATTTGCGCCAAAACAGATATGTTATGACCAGCTGGACCCTCCCAACTACTGGACAGGGGGCCTCGTGGCGACCACGGCACCAAGTCCTTTCGCACCTGCAAGCATCCAGAGTTCAGATTCCTCCCGTGCCAGTAGGAAGGTTCTGTCCACTCTAGGGGTGATCCCATTGAACACCACATCATTCCTCGCTTTCCAAAGGGTCCATGCCTCTAAAACGACCAAGGTGTTGAAACCATTCCGCACACCATTGCTCATTCGATCATTTGCTTGCTGCCACCATAAGAAGAAATTGTTACTGTCCGCTTGGGGTGTGACGTCCGGAATCCCCAAAAATCTCCATAGCTGATGCCAAAACTGCCGGGCGAAGACATTCAGTTCGTCACAAAAAAAATGACATTCAGTTCTTAATTTTTGGTACAGTATGTTTATGCAGATTTGGTTGGGATGCAGGAATGTTCTGATCTGCTGCAAACAGAGCTGCTTCTGTAATGTACAATTTGGATCCCATATATTGGATTTTACCTAGTGGTACTGGAGATCCATGCTTCCTAAACAGAACAATTGACCTCTTCCATGTTATGAAGGTGAGCATTTGTGCTTAATGTCTTTTGTGTGGTTTTTGCACAGAGTTGGACTTTTCATCCTTGATATTGCCAAGAATTGTGTCTATATTGGTTCAAAAGCACTAAAATGTGGCTAGATATGCAAGACAATTTGGTTATTGTTTATGCCAGCATTCACTTTTCTCATATGTGCAAATCCTCACTGTTTTTGGGTGGCCATTACATTCATGGTACTTATTTCTTGGTGTTGTTTGCCTACACCTG